TTTCTAATGCCGCTGTTTGTTGCCAATCCCATTCGAGATCTCTAACCCTTTACTTTAAGAATGAATATTCTTTAGGACAGCTCTGCCTTGTTCCTGCTGTTTGGTGTAATTATTAATAGTGCCTCCTTTCATTCTTGAGAATCTCAGTTTGGATGATAAATTATATGATCATTTCCTGCAGGCCTGTTGCAGGGTATAGGCCATCTCTTTTAAGATATATTCCTTGTATTAACCTAAGGAAAAAATTAGCTTACTTTTCCTACAACAGAGCTTGTGGGACCCTATCTTGCAGTCATATAAATATTTCTTTAGAGCAATAATTAAAAGCACATATAAGCTAACTCCCGGTGTCTCTTCTTAATGGCAAAAGTGAATAAGGTAACCTCACAGGGGCTCACCAAATACAGCAGACCTGGGAGGGAAACTTGAGGGTTTGTCCCTCCAAGTTTATATTTGCAAAGCAATTTCCAAACATTTTAATTAGTCTTTCCATTTAACAAGTGTAACAACATGTGCGCACTTTGGACAGCAAGGAAATGGATACTTAGAGAAATCTGATGCTGTGCCTTTTGGGATATCATTCCCGGCTTGAATTCTGAGCATGTTGTGATCTTCCACACCTTTTACAGACTTGAGTCACCTTCCATCCTGAACTTTGTGAAAGGGCGTGCTGTGGTTTAGAAATTCGTTGGTGGTAAGATTGTCAAAACATCATGAGAGATGCTTTGAGAGTTACTGTGGAAAGCAGGTTTCCGTGGAGCAATGTGACTGCTGGGAGGAGGAGCCATAAGATAGGACTCTAGACATTGTCTCCAGAGAGAAGGAGCACTGGCTCCTTTCAGTCTTGTCAGGAAGAAGCTGAGCATCCTTCTGTACAGTCCTAAGGCATCTGGGGCAGATGGATGCTCAAGTGGGGACAGATAGGTTCTTATGAAACATCATAATTATGGGAGAAGTGGAAGGAGTGGAAGAGGAAGCAAAAATGGTTTATTTGCTTCATAATGTCCTTTCCATCCAAAGATTGTCTGGCCTGAGACTAGTTTATAGCTTGTCCCCAGCTCCCTGACTCCCTGGCTGCAGCCTAGGTCTGAGAGAAGGAATAAGTTTAAAACAAGGCAGGGGAGTACGGAAAGGTGTGCGGTACAAAACACATGCCTGGATTTCCCTTGTCCTGTGGGAAGATGTGCAGCAGCTAAGGAAGGAACATGAAACTAGAAGAGAACTATGGCATAATGTTTGTATTGAAATGTCCCTTCCACAGCCTTTTTCCAAAATCTTCTAAAGAAAGGGCAAATGGGGTACAGAATAGAAAACCCCACCTCTTGGGTAATAGTACCATTGTGACTAGAATTAGCTAGGGTGCCACTCCTACCAGAGAATGTCTAGCAGACCCAGAATTCCGACATTTTAGGATCCAAAGGACACTACAGAGATCTTGCAACCCAGCTCCCTCATTTTATTCAGGGGACTTTCAGGTTCAGAAGTTGACCTAGAGTGCCTTTTACAAAGATTTCACTGAATTGCTGGCCTGGAATGCTTATCAAGACACTTTAGTCTTAAAGACATAAAAATATAAACTGAGAGTAATTTGCTCCTGCTGTGAGGAATTATCATGAGACCTAAATGAATGCCCCTGGAAACATATTGCACATACTTCCTGCTTAGCCAGGGAGCCTGCTCACCATGGTTGGCCAGTGTCCCTGAGAGAGGGATCACCTGCCCCCAGAGATGCACTGGAGCTGAAGCTTTAGGACCCCTTTCAAAACCCTGAACCTAATTTTGTATTTTTAATTCTTTTGCTTAAAGGGCTCTCTGCCCCCAATTTTAAAAGCTTCAGGACCCAGAAAATCTGAATCTTGCTCTTGCTGTCACACCTCATAAAACTAAATGTCTGACGTTCCAATATGCTCCTGATCAAAAAGGTAGACCAGATAATGGTGAAGAAGACCCTGCCTAGGCCCAGCTTAAGAAAACAGGCTGGGACCTGAAAAGAGCTCGGGTCGGGTATAATGCTGAGGACTGGCCCACACTGTGTCTCAGACTTCTACTCCTCTCCTTGCTTCTACCACCATCAGCTCCTCACTCAGACCGAACTCGTCTCTCAGATCTACAGAACCGGGGTTTTAGATTTTGTCATCATCTCTCATTTTGCAGGTTTTAAGAATGGCCTAAGTACCTTCGGTTCCTGAATTCCCCTTCCTGTGAAGTAAAACCACAGTGTTGGCCGATTCTTTAAGCAGGTAGAATATCGGTCTTACCTGTTAGATATAATCTGCCTGTGTCCCTGTGTGGGTAGAAACCAATGAATGAGGCCTGCCTATCTCAGCCTTTCAATGAGACAAAACCAATTGAAATTCTACACACCTTCACTTAGTGTCTATCATGAGCAAAGCTTCCGATTTACCCTCTGAGGAGAGAGAAAGCTGAACAAAATAATAACTGTGGACAATGTTTAAAGCTTATTCCTCATTTCATATTAAGAACTACCATTTATTCAGCCTCTGCTACAGGCCCAGAATTTTATGATATATATCATCTCTAGTCTTCTGAATAACTCTATAAGGTAGATGTTATTATCCTCATTTCATTGATGTGGAAATCAAGGCTCAGAGAAGTTCTGTGCTCTGTCCAGGCCACACGTGTAGGACAGCCCTCTGCTTGTTAAGGGCTGTAGATGCTGAAGGTGAGGGTGTGTAATGTCAGAGGAGGAAGGCGGAAAGACAACGGACATGCCAAACCTTCCATTGCATATTTCATACAGGCTTGCGTTTAAATCCCAGTTCTAACATTTACTAGCCTCGTGTGGCTTTGGGAAAGCTGCTCTCAATCTCGTTTGCATCATTTATAAATTGAACAAAATACCACACTTCATAAGGCAATTGGAAAAATGAAATGAGCTCCATTCCCAGCTTGTTCAGGTACAAAACAACTCATCTTGGTATAGAATGTTCATCTCCTAGAACTGCATGCCCACCATCTCATTTCCTTCAGGTCCTTACTGACTTGTCACCTTCTCAGCGAGCACTTCTCTGGCCACCCTATCTAAAAGGCCAGCCCATACCAATTCTTCATATCCCCTTTCTTGCCTTTTTTTAATTATCAGTAATATATTGCAGAATGTACTTATTTATCTTTGTCTTGTCTGTCTACACCCACAAGGAAGAACATTTTTTGAGGCAGAATTCTTTGTATTGTTATTTCTATGTCATCCAAGTGCACAGAGCTGAGCCTGGTACATGGTAGGCACTCAACATATATTGGTTAAATGAATGGATGAAGAAGAAAAAAGTCTTTGGCACCTGAAAGACCTGGGTTTGAATTTGGCTTTTTCCTTACTAGCTATTTGACCCTAGGTACCTTACTTATAATGTCTAGTCCTTGGTTTCCTCATTTTTTAAATGGGAAGAATGCTTGTTGTTATTATGAAATAATAATCTGACCAATTGTTTAAACTGTCTTTGTGCTCAGAGTTTTTAGGATAGGAGAGGAAGCTCAAAGTCAGGGATGTCCTCAGTATTTTCAGCCTATTTTCCGTTTTGTTACACCATTAACAGTGGAATGGGTGTGAAAATCCTCAGTGTTCACACCTCAGAGCTGCTGAGAGCATTACTATTTTACTGAGAAAGAACAGAAACTGGGGGAGGTCAAGTAACTTGCACCTGGTCACTCAACTCAAACACCGGGGCATGCAGGACCCAAACCCCAGTGTTGTGCCTCCTGATACTGTATTCTCCGCTGCCTCCCGAAGCTCCCTCTGCAGTGTGAGCTGGCCACAGGACACCTGTGTTCAGCTAAGTCTTTCACTGACTGTCATCTGCTGCACAGTACGTTTTGGCACTCAATTTTTCGCACACGGAACATGGAAAACAAAATCCACATCTCATAGCTTTGTGGCCAGGATCACAGGCAAGAAAAGCTCTTCGGAAACTGTCAAGCGCTGTACAAATAAGTGCTGCAACAGGCAATAACACGGGACCCCTCAGTTTCCAGTCCCTGGAGTCGCTCCTGTCTCCACCCCTCTCCCAGCCCGCCGAGTAGGAA